AATATTATTTTAACAAGATAAAATTTCTAAAGGTTTGATGAATAATATTTCAATAATTAATTTATTAGTAAATCCAATTAATGTACCTTAATAATTGCTAGATACATAAAACTCAGCCAGCAATATATAACAAACAAAAAAATCATATTCAATAACCAAAACTTTGTTAAATGTGTATTCAAGAACTCGATTCTAATATGATTAACTTTTAAGACATAAATCAAGAATTTTTCAATCTGTTTTCTTAATAAATTAAGGGACAATATAATATCAATCAAAAATACATAATTTTCCTTATTGATATGAAAGAGAGATTATAGAATTTGAAGTCTCATTTTGAAAATTCTATAGAGAAATTTATCGGATGGCTCAAAAATTAGATTATCAGTATTACTATTCCAGAATCCCCAGAAGAGTTGTTTTAGAAAATAAAAATTATAGATCTAAATTCACTTGTGGAGGGCGAATTAAAAATTAAAAAATATATGGAAAATTTTTAGGATATCAAGGGAATATTGTTGGATAAAATTTCCTCTCTTTTTCAAAATTCATTGATTAGAACTATAAAAGATAATATTCAAAAAATAAATTTTGAATTTTAAAATCTATAGGCTGAAGTTAAAGAGCTGCAAATAGAAAAAGAATAGAAATCTCAAAATGCATTCATTTTTGAAAAATTGGATGATTTTTCTATTAAGGAAAGTAAAGAATGTTATGTAATGGCTTTTAATAAAGATTGCTCTATTTTAATTGTGGGATGTCGTTATGAAATTAGAGTATATACATTTCTAAAAGGATTTATGAATCAAATTCAAAAAATTAGTAATAAACATACAAATAATGTTTGGACTTTGAATTTCATGAAAAAATCAAATAGATTTATATCTGGTAGTTATGATGATACAATTATTATATGGGTGAGCAAGAAAAATAATTAATATATTTGTCAATAAAAATTAGAGAATCATATAAGCAATGTTTATTGTGTAGTACTAAATAAAAATGAAGATTTAATAGTATCAGGAAGTGATGACAAGACAATTAGATTTTGGATAGAGAAGGATAGATGGGTATGTTAATAAGTTATAACAGATCATAAAGATAGTGTATTTTCCATTAGTTTGAACTAGAAATAAAATAAGCTGATTTCTTGTAGTTATGACAAGACAATTTTAGTAATAGAGAAATCATTATCTTTGTAAAGATGGGTCGCTGTCTAAAAGATAAATGTTGAATATTTTGGATGTAGATTATGCTTTATAAATGATAATTAATTCACATTCCAGCCATAAACTAAAGAATATTTGAGTCTTTATGAGTTAAATATTATCAACAATGAGTATAGAAAAGTGTAAGATATTGATGTACAATGTGGCTCCGATGGATCTTGCTTGTTTCCTTAACAATTTATAAAGTAGAAGGGTATTTTGCTAAATAAGAATGGTTAACATGTGAATTTTATTAGCGTTTAAAATGCAAACTTTCGAACAGAACAATCAATAGACTTTGGTACCGATTAAGTGTTCGGCTAATTGAGTGATGACGGATAATACTTGATTACTTGGGATAATAAATCATAAGAAATATAAATAAGAGAATTAAAAGAAATATGAAAAATACAATAAACCAATCACTTCAATATTATCGTTAATTTATTATTAGATTAAATTAAAAATATCCCATTCTTTATGTAAAAAAGCAATATCATTATGATTAAGAAATATTTTAGGATATATTTGAATGCTTTGTATATAGAAATCAACTATCCTTTATTATCTTTTCTTTAAGCTAACATTCTTATTGTTATAAATTGGATATCATTAAACATTAAATTCTTCTAACAAATCTTATACTTGTTAAATAAAAATTAAATTATTATCATTGTAACAATATTTCTAACCTTATTGTGCTTTCATAGTCTAAAGTCAACAAATAAAATGATCTCATTTAAATGTTTTATAACATTTGATAATTTAAATAAATTTAAGGTTATATATTTATGATTAAGTTACATATCCGTTAATATATCAAAAATTATACTCTTATATTTTATTCAGATCAATGGTTGTATAATTTTATATTCTAATCTTAATTCAATTAATATATTTAGCAAAATTTCATATTATGTTTATATTATTGTAATTCTAATTATTATTAATTTTTCAAGAATTCAAGTTTGTTGAATAAAAGCATCATATATTAAAACATAATTTAATTCCCCTACAAGGATATGGTTTTATAATAGTTAATTATTCAAAATTTACCTCTCTACTGTAAATTTTGAGTTAGAAAGAAATCTTGTTAAAAAAATTTTACAACTTAAACACAATTATTCCTAGAAGCATAGTTTAACCAAAGTTATTCTAATTTAGTAAGAACGATATTAAAACTTGACTTATAGACCACATCTAATGTAAATAAGAATTTACAATTCTCAGATTTTAAACAATATTGCCATTTAAATAAGGTTTAGTTTTATACTATATCTTGTGTTATTGATGTAATATTCTATTATTTTTGAATAAAAATTTAAGAATCACCTATATTTTAGATTTTTAAATCAATAAACTAGGAACTTTATCTAACAAATAACAAATCTTTTGAATTGCAGTTTTCATATAATACTTAAAATTTTATTCAGGAAATTAATTATATTTTAATTTTTAGAAGGACAATAATTAAAGAGTTGAGGAGTTTAAAGTATTTATTCCTATTTTCAATCAAAAATAATTTTAGCCTTATTGACTATTTTGAAAAATATATCATACATATAAAAGCTACTATTTATTCAAAATAAAATTATGATAATTGATTTCAAATTAGCAAATGAAAATACAACTATTAAATGATAAAACAAATTTTTGACAATTTACATTATTTTAAAGAATAAAAAAATTAATTAAAATTCAAAGTTATAAAGTCACTTTTAAACTATCTTTTAGAAGTTTTCCAAAAA